TAATTGATCAATCTCTTGCTACGCTCCAAATGAAAGAATTATATTTAAGTTTAACACCTAATGTAATGAAATGACTTTTGACCTTTGCAAATTAAGGTAATTACTATGCATTTTATAGAAAAAAATTGTGTGCAATTTTTTATTTTATATTTTTTTGAGATTCTATTCAAAGTGGAAATATTTTTTCCACTTAAAAGAGTGTTTACATCATGCATGGTATTGACATTATCACCGCCTCAACTTTCCAAAATGCTTCCATGCATTCATTTGTGAGAATTCTACAAACATCAAATCATATTGAAGTCTAAAAATATCTTTTAGTATTCAACTTATTATTTGCAACAAAGCACCTTTTAAACAACTTTTCAAAGTGATAACATGTAAGAGAGAAATACTGTGTCCTTAAACTTAATTAGAATGAATTCTATTCCTTTTTTTAGTTCACTTTTGGATTGAATGGTTCAATTGTTAGGGAATTAAGTGCACTTTATCAGCTTCCAACAGGCCAATCAGAGGTGTTACCTTATCAATTATTCATCAAAAGTAGTTTTTCAGATCATAATTAGGCAGTACTTAGCATTCAAGTTTTACTAACAACACTTCCATATATCTTCTTCTTTGCAAAGCTTCAGCTAAGGTGCTAGTTGGTGAGATTTCTGGGATAAGATTTACAGTCTAAACACATTGGAATGTTAATTTAAAAAGTGAACAAATCTACAAGCAAAATGGTTCTCCTTTCTATTCCTATACAAGGAAAAGCTGTGTCAACCAAGAAAGTTAAGGTAAAATTATTAAACATTGTCAAAAATATGAAATTTGTAGGCTAAATCATTCTTGAATCATGCCAAGGTTAAATTTATATAACGGAAGAAATYGAAATTTGCAATCAATGAAATTCGAGACTATATTTACTATATTGRCCTAGAGAAAATACCTGCTAATTTATTTGATTACGATTCATCTAATTGCATTTCATAAAACTTGGAGCTCCAAACTTGGAAAAAAAGAGTTCGAGCTTATTAAGAGAGATATTCTAAAAGTGTGAATTTTTGGGATGAACTAATCGTAAACTTCAAGAAAATGTTAAATTTTTAAGCAAGAAGCTAATGATGATTTCGATTGTTGTCCACGAATCATTGAGCTGCATTTTAGCGTACAAAAGGACATGCTGGTAACACACAGTCTAATTATTTGTGTAAGTTTACGGTGTTATGGCAGTAAACAACCGTGTAAATCAAAACATCACTCTAAATCGAGTACTACAAAATATTTTAACAACATCATAATCCAACAGTAACTGACCTGAGACTGCAACGACATCCACATTGGCGGKTTTTACAATAGATAAACAAAATATTRTCAAAATTAACAGGCTAAAACCCTTACTAAAAGCCATAAAAGAATAAAATCTGGCAAAACAATCTACAAAACAACACGCGCCATTTTCGAATGGTTTCACGTGACTCCTAGGGAACTGGAACCGAGTTCTTTAATAAMCGGAAGTAAAACTRCACGGACTATTTATATCYGATTATTGACCGGATGCCGCAGGTAGATACTCGMTGAAGTGATGGAACTCTGTTCGAGAGTGGATGGTAAAACTATTTCGATCAAATCAGATTATTCTTGCCGGCATTCCAGGCGAAATGGAATGGCTGGAGATATTGATGTACTGGACCTGAAATCATATCTTAAACAAGTGAGTAACTTTCTTTTTCTGTGGCYACATTATTGGGTCCACGAAATTTGTTACTTTTCGAGATAAATAGTGCTTATATTCTAGGTTTGTAAAAATTTGCTGKTTTTTCCATTATAGATTTATATTGAATGAAACTTTATAAAAAAAATCTTGTTTAGAGTAGTTTTTGGGGCAATTTGATGTAAATTGCTTCTAGCTGATAAACCTTGCCTTTATATATCAATACCTCTAAAAATAGTAGTATTGATTACGTGCGTCACTAGTAGTACATAGCTATTTTTCAAGAAACCGGGAAAATTATACCAGAATCAGAAAAAAACTAGGAAAAATGATATGCTTTTCAATCAAAGGGCTTTCTTAGATGATTTAGATCTTTCGACTTGCAAAAATGTTTTCAAAACAAATAGAACTTTAAACATTAATGTCACATGGGCTTGGAAACCCATCAGTTTATCTAGACTGTAAAAAAAAAAACTTTCCCAAGCATTTATCATATGAGCTATCATTAATTTTTCTAAAACTTCGTTGTATATTTTCTCTTGTGAATTTTAATACATTTAATTTTCAATTGAAGACAATAAGTCGATCAGTTGTTCTTTTTTCTGCGATCGTGCACACGTGCTTACAAAGTAATCGATAACAACAGACCACGTGTTTACATAATGACCGCTAGGCACACTGGGATACTTTCATCTCGCGACAAGGTGGCCGCGGCCATGCAAAGTATGGCGCTCGAGTAACATCAGACTCCATCTGGTTAGTTTACAAGCCATCCTTCTCTCTAGTGATCTTATTTTACCGTCATTCAACCTTGAGGACATTCCTATATTATTCGACCTTACTATTTTCTTACTTTTCTGGTGGAAATATTTTTTGATTCTGCAAACGCAGCATAAAGTCACACCCCCGTTTCAGCTCTCCACAATATCTGCGTGCGAAACTTCAACACGAAAGCTACTGAAGTGTGCTTTCTTGTATCTGATATTGGGTCTACCTTGTCTATGTTTAGATCCGTCCGATGAGTTTTCCATGCGTTCTTGGCATGCACGAAGTTGGTTGGGAAGACGGGTCGTACCGTAATGGTACTACCCCAAAACACGGCGCATCAACTCGGTCAAGTAATGGCGGTGTAGCCAAGAACAGTGCCTTCGACGTAGTGAGTGGAAAATCCAACGGTGAGGTGGCAAGCTATTTGTTTCAACGACAGGGGGTTGCCTCGAGTTTCCCTAAAACTGTTGGCGAGAAAGAAGAAGGATTTGGAGGAAGACAGTGGTCTTCGGTCGAGAGAATGTCTGACCAGGTTTGTACCATACATTTTATTTCTACCTACATGAAGTGTGTTTCGCAGACAAAGGTGTATAAAACGCCGGGCTAGTTCTATTATTGTAACTAGTTCTGTGTTTTAGTAAGCATAAGGACGAGAATATATGTAATGTTTCTCCCTGTAAGCGAGTGCTCGCAAAGATCTTTCGGTTGTCGAAGAAACGCATTTCGTTCTAAGGAACTTTGAATCGCATCGCATAGCGGCCTTCAATTACCTCCAAAACCCAGGTATTTCTAATTAGTTTTCCCAGGTAAATAAATTCTCTCCCATAGAGTTAAGCCGTAGTGTTTCTCTCATTTATTTTGGCATTTGAAGCAATTTATATTGGAGTTATAGAAATTCTATATTAACACAATTGATTAAGTTCGATTCGAGAACGTCGTATATGTCCACACGTCCCTTTACGATGTTTTTAACGCAAATAACCGGAAAATGTCGCCTGAAAGCTAGTAAATTATGGAATTTATTTCAAAATTACAATTTGATATGTGCAAGGCAGCCACTATAGTGTATATTTTACATGTAGTTGCTTAGATTTTTTGCGTCAGGTTAGTTTCATTGTTATATTTTTCACTCGAGCCTATTTTTCCAATTTAGTCCGGTAGAAAATGTTTGCTTGGGCAATATTTACCATGCCATTGCGAAAAATCCTACRTGTTTAGGTTGCTTCAGATGCAAGGCTGTAGCAATCAGCTGATGAAAAAAATTTGAATAATCCAACTTACTGCAATGTTATAAAATATTCAATTTGGCTTGTTAGTGTTCAATATTCCTAGTAGATTATAAATGGTGATAATTTGGCTGTTATTTCTTACTGCTAGAAGCTATTATATATCTGGCATTATTCCACTTCAGCTAGATCTTAAACAGTCAAATTTCATTTTCAAAAATATCATTTTTTTGTTTTATTTTCTTTTTATATTTAGCATATTATATGGACAAACTTATATATATTCTTTAATAAGCAGTGTTAATGGCAAATCCATTTACCTAGGTTTTATTCAGTGGTTTTATGATTTGTGGTTTATTCCTTGGAAGGAGAAAACCAATCTTCATTACTACATTCATATGTTGGGGATTTGTAGCAACATTCTAAAAATAGCTCCTCAAACCCCAATAGAAATCCCCTCTTTCACCCTTCAAACATCCCAGCAGAATGCAAAATGTCTTTTTTTACACACAACGTTCAACAATAAATATTTTTGTCAGCAATTTACATTTAATAATACTCTGAGATTTTAGAAACAGCTTTAGAAATTGAATGTAATTGGCACTTTGCAGTTAAAAACCTGTTTATGTAAATTTYAAAAATTTGTAATAAAAATGCTAATATATGATTTGTTGACATTTATTGTTGCTGAGAATAATCTTGAATAATCTAAAAGCATGTTATATACATGTAGATGACAACAATAATGGTAACAGATACATAAACCTTAAAGCTTTCATAAAGTTTGTGCAATTATTGTATAGGAATGCTGAACTGCTGCAAAAGCAATAGTCATTCTTTAACTTGTGAATCACCTTTGAGTTATAATTATCTATGAGTCACAATACCATATTAGTCATGTAACAAATGCAATTTTACAGAAGTTTTATTATCGTAATAATTCCTTTTGAAATTTTATATTTTTTTGGATTATTTCTGAACCACATCAACTAGTAATCAAGTTTAAATTTTTATGAATGTCACTAAAAAAATTTAACTTAACACTTGCAATTTCTATTGCMAATGGTCCATGGCCAATTAATTATGAGTTAGATATATTGTACAGGTTTTGGAATTCTGTTATTCGCTATTTAATTTCTGAAATACTTCATTTTCAAAATAATTGTTATACCATATCGTATTTCATTTGTAAKGAAAGTAACAGTATATCTTGTTTTACCTCAGTCATATGAACTTTATATTTTTTACAATCTTTGTTGAAATTTTTGATGGTGCAYATTGCTCTGCAATTCCAGTGCATGTGAACTCAATATGTTTTTCTTGTATATTGTTTGTCTCMTTGAAGGCATATCCTTTTGTTTTTTATTTGAAAACAAGAAAATTGTTCTCTGACCTGTGGTCTTTCTCTAGGATGGGTTGTTCAAAGTTCGATCTGCTAATCATAGTTTAACTATTTAAAAATTGACATGTATGGAAAAATTAACCGTGGATCAATTGCCACTTTGAACAARCCAGTCCTGAAGGCTTCTTTTTATATTTGAAAACACTAGATACCCAACCTGGAGGTAATGTCATACACTTGTGAAAACGTGTTGTAATCACTGGACAGTATTTGCTGAAGTACAACCAACCGTAGGCTTCCTTTTATTCAATCTACTTAGTCCAACTCAGAAAACAAACAAGATTGCCATCAAATTTTGTGAGGTTTAGATAGGCTCAACATTTTTGCACTTTTATGAATGTGTTTTAGTTCTTGRCGATTCTCAGCTCAGGGCTCGAAATAACAGCCGGTCAAAGGATAATGTCCTTTCCAAAATTGTCAGATGACTGGCCAAATCAGGTTTTGAAAGGAAAAATTGAACTGCCACATTTTTAGACAAAAAGGCAAACAAAAAACAATCCATTCCCAATTTGCTAAAAAATCTTTAACAAACTTAATTACATTTCTTACTTTTCTTTTGAAGTGGATAAATTAACATTCATAGAAGAGTTTCTGGTTAATTTTACACTAGTTCCTGAACATTGGGATTCCTGTGTTGTACTCACCAAGAATGCTTACATTACATTAGTTGTTTTCTSTCTCACTTATTGTGCTATTTCATTGGACTATGATTGCTCTGTAAGTAATCATAGTTTTATTGTATTTGTGACCTTACACAGGAAAACATACAGAACACTTTTCCGTTAAACGGTTGTTTCAAACGTGCGCATTCCGTCTTTTCGGTGAGGCAAAAATGCTTTCCGCTGACCGTTGAAACGCTTTTAATATATAATTCTAAAATGTTTAGGATACTACGCGCGCTGTGATTGGTCGAAAACCATGTTYGATTRCARTATCAAAACACGCTCGCGCACGTCAAAAATTTCTTTTTTTCTTTTAATTTTAGAAAAGAAATAAAAGACGAAATTCCATGTTTGATACTCTGATCAAAACACTTGGGATGTAGGGAGAGCACTCGAAAAGCTGGAAACCACTCCGCTACGCGTCGTGGTTTCCTACGCTTCTCTCGTGCTCTCCCTACATCCCGCGTGTTTTGATCAGAGTATCAAACACGGAATTTCCTCTTTTATTCCTTAAATCAAACACGGAATTTCGTCTTTTATTCCTTAATTCATAAACGCTTTCGAGTTATTCAAAATGCTTATAATTTATTTCCAAACGCTTTTTCAAAACTGCTTAAACGTTTTAGGGTTGTTGTTTAAACGCTTGTAAAATATTCTGGAACGTTTATAAGTTATTCACGAACGCTTTTCTAAGCCTGTGCAAAYGCTTTTAAAAACTTAAAAGTTTTATCCCGAGCGATTTTCTCAACACTTTCAGTAGCATCCAAAACTCTTGGAAAATGCTTTCGTGTGACTTCTACTTTGAACTGAACTTTGCGATTCTAACGTCAGAACCGACCAACAGTTCGCGAGTTCGAAATTATGTTTGTAACTTTAGATTTTTGAAGCGAGATAATYGGCACTTTGCTATCGTGCAAATCAAATTGTACAACCCTGCGTTTATTGTTGGAAAATCGCTGTGCAGACAATTTTCAAGCATTGATGTTCGTGCGATGATTGCTGCGAAAATTGCTCTTCAAAAATTGCAAGTGTAAACGGGCCTTAAACTGTCGATGTTCATGTCTGTCATGTCGTCTAGACGCTTTTATACATGTTTATTGACATTCATCAGCCAGCTTTTTTGTTGCCTCAAATGGTTTTAGATTTATTCAAAGTGCAAGTTAGTTAAAATGCTTTTAAGTTATTCAAAAATGCTTATAATTTATTTCAAAACGCTTTTGTTAAGCCGTTTAAACGTTTTACTGTCGCCGTTTAAACGCTTTTAAAATATTCAGGAACGCTTTTAAGTTTTCCATGAACTCTTTTTTAAAAAGTCTGAATGGTTTGCAAACACCATTTAAATGGGTAAAAGACCATTCACTGGGCCGTTTGAAACGGTTTTTGGAACCATTTTAAAAAGCATTAATTAATGTGTATGTTTTCCTGTGGAAGATCATATTTGACATTCATTTATTGTAAATTAGTCTTAATATTGTAACTGTAATTTACATTTTAGGTCCATCTCTATTGATTTTATTTAACCTGCGTAAATAAACTTTGTTAAAATAATGCCATTAAAATGCTTGCCGATCTTTCTGAAAACAAAAACCTATAAGTTTTAAAGAATATAGTAGGATACAATTTTTGTCCTTTTAAAATTCGACATGATGTTCCAAAAAAATGAATTTTTGAAGGACATCTTGTCCTGCATATGTCTGGGTGTTATTTCCAGCCACACAGCTGGTATACACCCTTTTAATAAGTCCTGAGGTTTTGTGTTTTCCACACTTGACGTCAAATTTATTTTAACAATACAAAAAGAATTCAAAAGAATAAATTTGACGTCAAGTGCAGAGAACACAAAACCTCGGGTGTATAGTTAATCTTAAAACCTGAAAACTCTATTTGAAATGACAAACAAAAATGTATTTCCATCTTGGAATATACTATGTCAGTATTCATTGCTTTCTGAATCATGAAATGGAAGTAAAGGAAAGTTATAGTGCTTAGAAGGAGGTTATTCTGGTTGAATACTCCANAACACTTCTTATTGATGATCTATACATATTATTATCAAACAATAAAGAATTGGGTTTAAGTTTACATCCATGTGAGCTTACATCTTCATCGATATTTATCACAGCTTTCATCAACGTTTGGTTTAATATGAACCTCTCAATTTTCTTCGAAATTTGTAGCTTGACATTGTAATACAATAAAGGCTCAATAATTCTCCAGATAGGTCGACTATTCCCTAAACAGGGGCTTGTTTTCATTTCCCGAAACGCCATGTTTATCCCGTTAAAAAAGGGTCGATTCTTCCCATATAATATGGCCTCATTAATCCTCATAAGAGGTGCAATAACCCTCCGAAGAGGGGCAATAATCCTCATAAGAGGTGCAATAACCCTTCGAAGAGGGGCAATAATCCTCCGTAGAGGTGTAATATACCCACAAGTGGGCTCGCATTGAGTTTTGTTTGAGTTTTGTTTGTTCATGCGTGGAGTCACGTTGGCAACCAGCGTATTAGGTTGAACATTCTCTGGCTCTTTAGAGCCATTTCTTCTGAAAGAAAGACCTAAAACTTTTAGAACACTAATATAACTTTTCATTACGCCAAATATTGTTATATGAAAGCTGTGATAAACAAAATTAACGCAAAATATACTCACCAAAGCAAAGACAACTCCAATGCAGCAGTGAATTACCACGGTGAATTGCCACGAGGCATTTTCGCGAACTTGTTCGTTGCTTGCGAGAATTTTCGGTAGTCGTTCGTACTAAATTTCATTTGTCAATCTCTTCCGAGGACTTCCTGTGTTTATGGATCTTCCGAAGGGGTATTGACTGCATTTTGACGTCATTCTATTGTTACTTACTCATTTGCATTAGACACGATGACAAAGTGTCTACTACTTCGTAGTAGGCACAAAAAACACGAATTATGCGGGATTATGCGCGATTTGGTAAATTATGCGGAAAGGGGGCAATTATGCGCGTCCGCATCCGCGCATAATTCCGACATGCCTGTTGAATACTGTACATACAACTCGCACAGGAAATCCAGTAGTCTCAAGATTTTGGGCTTTATCTTCCACTCTCAAGATATCAACATACATGTATAAGACAACTCACAATGTATACATGTGTACACCGTACTAAAAATGGGACCTGGTTTGTGCATGAATTGAAATATCCATGGTCTGCAACTGTGTATTGTTTAGGGAGGGAGGGTTGCGGCTTTTAAAAAACCTAGCAAAATTTTAGGCTTATCAATCTCAACATGTGAAATTTCTGAAAGAGATTTTGTCAAACCAACGTGGCATCCAATGGGTTGGCCCCTATTGGCTCTGCTTAAAATGGCACAGGAGCTGAGTGTCTTGAACACATTTTCTTGATGTCTATTCCACTGCCATGACGTTGGAGATCAAATCCACCCCTAGAGATTTCTCTAGTTTGGTGTGGTGCATTGCATATTCCTTGTGCTTCCTAGAGTCACTCTGTGACAATGACTGGGGAGATAAACCATGCAATGAACAGTACTTTTTTTTAACATTGGGTAGTTCCAGAAAATAGCAGCAGCATTTCGGAAATTTGAGAATATCCTAAGGAGAAGGGGTGTCAAAAATCGATGCCGCCCACTGTATGGAACTGACATTTTCTGGAATTACCCATTTGATGATAGTACTACTAGTACAACTGAACCATAATACAACTAGAACCATGCAATGAACAGGTTACATAGCTTGGCTTTAAGGATTTGGAAAGTTTTAGGAATAAAAAATATATTATAGTTTTAATTGCATGCCAAGCAGTCGAACCAAAGTAATTTATCTTTACATGTAATTGCAACAGAATTGAAAACTGCAATAGTCTTTTACAGAAAGCCAGTGTCAAAAACGTGCATGGCTTTAGGAAAAGCTACATGTTTTCATCACTTTTGCTACTTCCTTTCAGAATGACGAAGATAATGAAGAGCTAGAGGGAAAGTTTCAGAGTATGACACTGAACAATAATGAGAAAAAGGCTGACACACCCATTGAAGAGGTAATGTTGAATA